TCCAGCATTTATCAATTCCTTGGTTCTGTGACATTTTCCTCTACCCCTTTCAGAGAAATGAAAGAAAGAATTCAGCAGCACATAACCTTCCAAATAAAATTTTTCTTTCCCTTTGTCAAGAAGAGATACAATTTTAGTCAGAATTTTAGGCAGCCAGAGAGAGGCCCCATCCACCTTCAAGGAGCAGAATGTGTATCTTTCTGGTAGATGTGTACACCTATTGCTGAGGGTTTTTTTTCCATCCAAATAGCAACATGACTATATTTCCAACTTCTAGAGGTCCATTTTTATTATTTTCTAATTCCTAAAAGCATTTTTAAATATTTCTCAATTTAGCTGTCTCCATTATTTCTCATGGTACTTTTTCCTCTTTATCCCTTCCAGACTTTGAAGAAAAAGTACAGGAAATGAAAGGGGGCAACCAATCTAACGTCAGTTAAACCTAAGCATGTTTCCCCTCAACACTTAACACTACTACTTATCAGTACCTTTTTGTTAATGTCTTTTTTTTATCAGTTTCCAATTTCTGTAACTTCTCAGCTATACCAATTTGAACAAACTCTGCAAATAAAATGTCATGAGCAGCTCCAGAAAAAAAGTAGAGCTTCACATTTAGCCAAACTTTCTTCCAGGTTCTTAACAGACATTAGGCCATTCACCCAATCACTCTTGACTATCAGTAGGTAATAATGGCTAACATTTCTGTTGTATGTTAGGGTTTACAAATGTGTTCTACAAATATTATCTCATTTTATTTTCAAAACAACCCTAGAAGGTAGGTGCTATTATTATCCCCATTTTATGGATGAGGAAGCTGAGGCTTAGAGAGGCTAAATAATTTGTTTAGGGTCACACACTCATGTCTGAGATTAGATTTAAACTCGGGTCTTCACTGTGCTACCAAGCTGCCCAAAAAAGTAGTGAGGTCTTTGTTGTACAGATAAGGAAACTGAGGCACAGGTGAGGGTTGCTCATGACCTGATAAGAAAGTATAAAAGAAAGCAAGAGTTAAGTTGAATCCTTGCTTAATCCTGCTGAAATACTAGTGACACATCAATACCATATTATAATCACTTGCAACATGAAGCCTCACATCACATTTTTTTCTTCAATTCCTCTGTTCATAAGAAAAATATCACTCACACATAAACCAAATCTCACTGGCAATCTCCTCTGAGAGATGGAAAGAGAAAGGATAATAGCCCTTTTCAGGTTCAGGTTGAATGGCAATCAAACAGATCTGAGCTGCTCAGATGACATCCAAATGCCAGCACAAATGGAGATGTGAATTGAGGAAGAGAAATAAAATACTTCTTTTCTGGACCAAGAGAAAGTTCATATTTTTAAATGCATATTTGTCTTTTAATTAGAGAACATGGATTTTGTTTAGAGGCTCTTGGAAAAAGGGAGTCATGCATGTTCATCATTGTCAAAGAGGGAGCTGTCTAAATTATACAAATAACCTTTCTGGAGCACACACCAAAGGAAAGAGTTTAGAAAATTCCATTTTGATGGTCACTTACAGTTTTCAGAACAGTTTAGAATAACAGGGAAAGATACGTGAAATCTATGAAATAATGAACAGTGGACGTGGGTATATACACACAATAAACAATGCTAATTTGATTGGCCGTGCCTTCTTATCTTGTGTAATTCTTGTCCATGTTGTTTTTAAGTCATTTTTCAGTCATTTCCACTCTCCTCATTTGGGGTTTCTTGGCAGAGATACTAAAGTGGTTTGCCATTCCTTTCTCCACATTATTTTATAGATGACAAAACTGAGGCAAACAAGGTTAAATGACTTGCCCAGGATCATACAGCTAGTAAGTGTCTGAGGCTGGATTTGAGCTCATAAAGATGAGACTTCCTGACTCCAGGCCCGGCATTTTATGCACTGTTCCACCCAGCTGCCGCAATTCTTGTCCATGTTCCCCCATAAATACTCTACGGATCTACCCAACATGGTGGGACCTTTGTCTGGGTCTTTATAGACTTTGTGAGTCCAGTACAGCACTTGGGCTGTCCATGTGATATGCCTAACTCTCACTACATGAGCAGCCTGCTCCTTTTTCTTTACATTCCCTTGGTAACATGTTTCACTCTGCTTCTGTGTGAATATGAGCTGCAGAACACAATGACCTTGGAACATCTGAAATGACACATGACCCAAAGAGATCAGAGCGTCATAGATTTTGAAGTGAATGAGAGCTTGGAGATGAACCAGGACAGCCCCTCATTTCACAAATAAGGAGCCAGAGTCCAAGTGAAGTAAAACTTGTTCAGCGACAAGTGGCACCAATCCAAGTCTGCTGACTCAGCTCTGGGTGCCAAAGTCCAAGGGCATTGTTTAATTGGAGAGAATTCGGAGAAGGGCAATCAGGATAGTTAAGGGCCTTGAGCCCATGCCATATAAGGATCAATTGAAGGAACAAGGGATATTTAACCTAGAGAAGAGAAATCGGAGGTGAGAGGAGCAGAAGGAAGAGGGAGACATTATGCTGTCTTCAAGTATTTGAAGGGCTCTCATGTGGAAGGGGGTTTTGATTTGTGCTATTTGGTCCCAGAAGACAGGACCACGAACAATGAGTGACAGTGGCTAAGAGGTTGATTTAGGCTTGATGTCAAGACAAATTTTCCTACCAATTAAAGCTGTCCATAAGTGGAATGGACTCAAGACATAATGGTGATTATTTAACAACTGATTCTAGAAGGGGGAAAATAAAAGCTGAAACCTTCCCTATGTGTTGTCTCCCCTATTAGAAGGGGGTCTCCTTGAGAACAAGGACTGTCTTACTTTCTCTTTGTATCCCCAGCACTGAGCATGGTGCTTTGTACATAGTGAGCACTTAATAAGTACTTTGTTCAATCATTGATTCCTTTTCTTGCCGTTCATCTTGTCACTTCTTCCTTTCTCCCTTTTGCTATGGAGACATTCATTAAATCAGGGCTATCCTTGCTTATGGAAAGAGCACATCAGTCACTCATCCTATGTCTCCATTCACTATCCCTGGGACTTCCCAAACCTAAACACCCCTCCTTGATCACCATCCCCCATGTTAAAATATATGCTCCTTGAAGTCTAGGGTCATCTCACCTTTGTATTTGTGTCTTCAGCACTCAGCACAAAAGCTGACACATGGTAAATCTCAATAAATGTTTTTCATTCATGTATCCACTCAATAAAATGTTTGCTGGTGATGATGGCCCCTATTTGATGATTTCTTAATAACAACCCCTATTTCTGAAATAATGGCCCAGTGACAACAGAGAGAATTCAATTTCTTGGCCTTTTGACCCCAAAGTCTACTGAGGCTAATAAAGGAGCTTCACAACAGACTAGAAGATCAACAATCGTCAAATTTGTCCGTGGTCAAACCCAAAGTCATTTGTCGTAATGAAATTGACTTCTCAGTTTTCTCCAGTCAATCAACTGACCGCTTTGCCACCCAGAAACTTTCCCCAAAAAACTGCACAGAACAAACATTGATTCAAGTGGAAGTATTTATATATACATATATACATACAAAATACAAGGGCTGTTTTGCAAGCACTTTTAAGAGATCACCTTGTCTCCACTGGTAAGTTAAAGCTACTCAAACTTCTATAACT